AAGGGAGTCTTCTTTTTCCTCTATTCCTATTATTCTTAGGTTTTGTCTTTTCATATTGTCTTGGATTTCTTGGACGGTCTGTGTCAGGAATTTTTTGGATTTAACATTTTCTTTGACAGATACATCGATTTCTTCCATTGTATCTTCTACACCTGAGATTCTTTCTTCCATTTCTTGTATTCTGTTGGTTATGCTTACCTCTGTAGTTCCTGTTTTCTTCCCTAAATTCTTCCTCTCCATTATTTCCTCCATTTGTGTTTTCTTTAATTTTTCTAGTTCTATCTTCAGGTCTTGAGTTGTTTTGTTTACTTCCTTCACCTGTCTGCTTGTATTTTCCTCTTTTTCTTTTAGTTCCTTCAACTCTGTCTCTTTGATTTCTTTCAGTGATTTAATTATTTCTTCTCTGAAGGCCACAAGCTGTTTGGCTGCATCTTCCCGTATTTCTTCACGGATGGCCCTAATTTGCTTGTCTTTATCTTCCTCCATTTCTTTACGGATAGCCATGATCTGTTTGGTTTTATCTTCCTCTAATTCTTTACGTATTTTATCTGTTTCCTCTATTATCCTCTTCATCAACATAGATGTAAGGTCATCTTCTTGATTTTCTATTATGCTGCATTGTTCAGGGCTGTTCGCCCCTGGATGGCTGGGTTCTGGAGATGCCATATTGCTCTGTCTTTTGTTGGTTGAGCCTTTACGCTGACCTCTACCCATTGGGCTGATTTAGGTTTTGGCTGTTAGTTTCTGTGCTTCCTGGAGTCCTGAGGTAGGGAGTATCCCCTTGGCCGGAAGATGATTTTTCCTGAAGGAGTCCTTCTCTGCTTTTTGGTTATGGTCACTGTATGGCCAGTGTTTCTCTGGAGATGCCACTGCTCACCTCAGGTTTATAGCCCTGAGTAGTAGCTGTGGTCTATGTTAGGCAGGGGGGGATCTCCTCTTACCCATAAAATTTCTCAAGACAACTGCCCCACTGCTGGGTTTCTTGTTATAAATTTAGTGTGCTGCTGCTCACTAAATTTCCATGTACAGTCCTCTTGAAGAAACTGCTGATTCCCTAGCTATGGGGTTTTCTCTCAACAGGGAAACTCAGTCTGTTATCCTGGGGCGCACAGTTCTGTCTGAGAAAGTGGGAGGTGCACTCAGCAAGTCTCTGGGCCAAAGGCTGATTGCTCTGCTCTGGACCTGGAGAATGTGCACCTAGGTTGAGTTGGCGCCTGGGGGCGCTGTTCTGGTCTGGAGGCTGGGTGCCTCACTCTGGACCAGAAGCTGTGTGTCTCTGTCTGGGATGGAGGCTGTAGGCACCACGCTGGTCCAGATGCTGTGGGTGCAGCCCCCCTGAAGGATCAGGGATTCCCACAGTTTTGGCAGTCCAGCCAGGGACAACTGGCCGATCCCTGGCACAGTATCTGAGGGCTGCTGTAATGGCTTTTTGGCTCCTGCAGGTCCGAGGATGCAGCTGTGTGTCGCAGTGCCCCAGGGGAAAGCAACAATGGCGGCAGAGCACAGCGCTTCTGCCTGCACTAGAGTCTGCGTGAGTCCAGGAAGTGTTTTGGTGCTGGGTGTCCTAAGCGTTAGAGCTGCTGACCCCCTCCACTGGCGGTTTCCTCCTGCCAGAGACACGCAGTCTGGTGCCCTGTTGCCCTGGTGCCCACAGTTCTATCTGAGGCGGCGAATCACGCGCGCAGGCAGGGCTCTGGGCAGGCAGGCGCCTTTGTCCCTCCCGGCTCTGGGTCTGGGCTGGCTCTTGGGGCACCCGCGGAACCCGAGTCTTTTCCAGGGGATGTCTGGGTAACCTGGGGTCGGTCCCAATTGTTTCCTGCTCCGTGGGGTTATCTCTCGACTGGGAAATCCAGTCTATGGTGTTGTGGGCCCACAGTTCAGTCTGGGACCGCGACCAGATCGCACTGGCGGGTAGCTCTGGGCTGGTGACCAAGCGCCTGGCGGAACGGGGATCTCTTCCGCGGTTTTGCCGGGTGAGTTAAAGCTGATCGAATCCCCCACCGTGGGGTATCCTCTCACCTGAGAAACACAACCACTTGTGTTTTATGGCCGCGAGTTCTGATTGCTGGTCACTGTGCTAATCCTGCTGTGCTGCTCCTCAGAATGAGAGTCCTCCCGGCGCTCCACATGTTACCTCTTTACACAGCTTTATTTTTAAAAGTCCCAGAGGAACTTTTGAAGACCATTTTTAGACACATTCTTCCACTGAGAACATCTGTAGTTCCTATTCCAGGGTAAAAAAACCCACAAACAAACAAAAACAAAAAAACTTCATGGCATGGATGGTGCTTCTGGGAACTTGGCCAAAGCCTTGGAACCATCACTGTGTCTGTTCAGTGGCAGCTGCGTTCCTGTCCTCCACAGGCTTCCACAGTGAGGATGTCAGTGATTTTCCAGTTTTGGATGTTCTCATCCCTCATCCCCATTGCTGGACATGGAAAAACAGGTAAAGACAAAACCAGAAGCTTGTTATTTTCAAACATAACCTGACAAATCTTGTCGTTGCTCTCAAGACAGCAGGAAGCAACGTTTTTGAACACAATGTCCCCATTCCTACCTCAACACTGCTTCCTAAGTTTGTAGTTTTTTTAATTAAACAAAAAGGGAGGAATGTTAGCGTACAGGGAGTCCGACTAGCCTGCCTTTCAGGGCCCTAGCAACCTCTGATGTCATCACCTGCCACTTCAGCCAGGTGAGTCATCAGGTGTGAGCTTGATAAGAGGGCCCTGCCAGCCTCCCCAGATCTCTCACTCCCTCTCTCTGTCTCTCTCAGTCTCGTTCTCTCTCTGTCATGGGTACCCTCCCCTCTGTCCCCTCCCTTTTCCCACAACAAACCTCCTTTACACCAGATATGGTGCATGGCATAGTGATCATTATTATGACAGGTAGCCCTTAGGGTTACCTTTTTGTGAGAAGAAGGGGAGAGGGAATGGAGGGATGAGTGCATGAGGACAGGCCTGGGGGGAGAGAAGTGGAGGGGGGCTGGGATCAGGCTGTCAAGACATTAAAAAAAATTTTCAAGAATCCCTTAGACACACACCCTCACTCTGAAGTACTGCTGCTCTCCCCTCTGAGGGTAGAAAGCCTGGAACAGCCCAGTTGTTTACACTTCTATGGAAAGGGCTGCCTGTGTTATCAGAGCGTGCTACACAGTAATTACTGGCTCTTACCTCTTCCCACCTCCACACCTAGTGCTTTAGAGGTGCCTCTGCTGAAAGCTAAACACTGTTTTGAATCACTTTACTTTCTATTTCAGCTTTGGAGCAGAATGTTACTGCTTTGAGCTTATATTAGGAATACAGACAAGCAGAAGGAAGTGTTGCTGGGCGTGAGAGCTCCTGCTATAGGAGCTGGAGCAGGTAAATTTTCTCTCTCTCTCTCTCTCTCTCTCTCTTTTGACTTGATTTCTGACTCAAAGAGGCAGTTGAAGAAAGGGCACCAAGGACAGGTTACTTGTGTTTTGTTTGTGGTTCAAGCTTCCCCCATAATGACAAATGCAAGGTAGCGTTGTTCTGGCTGCTCCAGCTGGCCTCAGGAGAAGCTTCCCTTCTTGTCTCACCAGATCCTGCTGCGTCTCTGGATCATAAAGCAAAGACTGTCGCTACCAAGAAGCTTATAGGCAACTGTGATCTGAAGAGAGTGTGTTTATCTTCCTGAGAGTTAGACTCCACAGAACAGAGTCTGCATTCCGTGTCTACGTGACTGAACCTCATTAGCTGTGTATAACCATAGCGCAGAAGTCCGCGTGTGTGAGGCATTTACCTGTGTTTCCTTGTCTCAATAGTGGACAACAGTGCTGTCTCCTGCTAACATACTGCTATTTTGTCCCGGTTTCTAAGAAGGTGGAGGAAGTAGAGCTTTGTTGAACACCATGAAGGGAAGGCTATTTCTTCTTGGTGAGGCATAGCTACTTTATGGAACTATTTTTAAACTTATTTTAATCCACTCTGCTACTTGAGTTTTGCTCAAAAGAATTGGACTTGGCTCACATCATTAGCCTTGAGGGAAAACATGGCACTCCAAACTGCACCCAATGGTATAAGATTACAAATATATGTGGTTGTTCCCTTTCTTAGAAGTTCATCCAAATGAGCCTGCCAATCACCTGGGCAGGAAAATGCCCCTCAAAAAGCTGTACTTCAAACACTTGTTATACTTGCAGGTGTATTAAGATGTAAGAAGTAACTATTCTCCCAATGAGATACTTATTTACCCCAGAAGCCCCTCCCCTAATGTAGATGCTAATAGACTCTCAGAGAGTATAACTTTTTCTTTCCCCGCTTTCCATTTTCTTATATAGGATGCCAGTCAAAGTCCTCAGCCTGCTGCCCTGAAGCTCTAGGACTTCTCACTCTGTCTAAAGAAACATCCTCCCTGCCTCCCCCCCCCCACAAAGATGCTTATGAACTTTCACTTTCACTGCTGAGTCAGCTTGCTACGTTGGTCATTAACCCAGAAAGCATGATTTTTTTCCTTATCTACTTCTGTCTTCTGGGTACCTGCTGAAATCTGCAGATGGTCTGTTCTGTTACTTTTCTCTCTCCAACTCAAATAAAGTTGTTCTCAATTTTCCTTTTAATCCCGTTTTATTTCTTTTATATATGGGATTTAAGAACCCATAAAAGGTACCCTGTGCTCCTTGGTCAACCTACTACCAATGAAATAAGTATTAAACGGATGCAGGAACAACTCCAAGAAATTAGTCCTCAAATAGTATGTAAGGTTTCCCTTCAAAACATCTCTGTTTCTAAACCAGAGAAAATATCACCCTCGTTCAAAAGGTATAAAATAAACCATGTTTGCAATAATTACAAAAGCTGTCAAAATTCTCCTTCAGCAACCAGGGGCAACTTTTGGGAAATCAGTTCAGTGATATATCAAAGTGTTGTCAGACAACACTGTGGGAAATCCCCTTTAACTGGATAGACTGAACTTATGTAGTTTCAGTTTCAGTTTAGAGAACCCTGTTGGAATTTCCCCGATGTTAGCTTATACAAAAAGCTATCTGCCAGAGAGCTGGGAGTGCAAAGGAAATTTCCAGGGCAGGCTATTATTGCTCAGAAACACGCACAGATAAATAAGGGGCCCCTACGGGTTTGCACTCTTATCAATTCCTCTTGGAAGCAGCTTTCTTACCAGCTCTTGCTCCAGCTCCTCAATTTTTGTTAAGGTAAGACTCGGTATGGGTGGCAAGAGACTGTTATCGTTTAGTTTTTGAAATGTTGTGCTGGATTAGCCCTATTAAAGATTAAATCACAGTGTTATTGGAGGAACAGAATTTCATATCTGGCAGCGGAGTGTTTATTCAGTGTCATTTTTGCTGCCTGATAATGGGTAGGGACTGAACTGAAGGCTAGAAATGCCTTCTAGCTATTCTCCCCCCCTCCGCCGCCCTCTAGCTATTCTCCCCCCCTCCGCCGCCCCCTTGGCTCCAACCTCTTGGTATCCCTAATTGCTACTTAGAACAGAGATTGCATCCAGAACAATGGGCAACCTCATAGATAGTTTTCGTGAGGAAGAGCAAGGCGTGAGTTGCAAAGTAAAATGCTGAGGAGGTCTGAGACTGGGGCCTCCAGCCCCCTGACACAGCCCTGGCCTAGTGGGGGGAGGAATTCTCAGAGAGCAGGGCTCTACTCGCCTGGGCAGACTGGTCTTAAGAGGCCTCCCTCCCTGGAGCTTGGAACAAACTCACAACTAGCACATACACACACACACACACACACACACAGAGAGAGAGAGAGAGAGAGAGACAGACAGAGAGAGAGAGAGAGATATGCTAAAGATTCTAAAGACAAAACAAGAAAGTGAGACTCTCAGCAGTTAGAGAGATAGGATGAGCTATGCAAGGCAGAATAATGAATTTAAGAACATGGCTGAAGAACATTAACTATACAGTGACATCAGAGATTTGGCCAATTAAAAATAAAATGATCGTGGTTTGAAGTTTGGGGCTAATCAGGGACAGTCATAACTATGTAAAATATGTTTTTTTTAAAGTACAGCTTCAAGAAATAAACACATGGAATTTTTTTTTATTTTTTAAAATATGTGTTGGCCTTTATGGATTGGGGCAGTAAAGTAGTGCAGTTCTGTCATCCAGCTGAGTAAGAGAAAAGCAACAAGCGACAAGTAACAGGCAGTCACTCCAGGGAAATCAGCAGGTGTAAGCCAAGACAAAGTGGCCAGCCAGAAGCCAACGGAAGGAGCCAGACACAAACTGTCAGCAGGTCGGCTTGGGCTATGGGTTTCCTGTGTAGGTCAAGTACTTAAGAGGCTGTGGGGTATGCTGCTACCGGTCTTTGCAGAGATAGGAGTTATTGCTCTTTGCGATTTCTTTCTGTTTTTATATTTTTTTTTTATTTTTTAATATCTCGGAAACTCAGGCAACTCAACATGCCATTTGTTCAGGGGTTCAGTGGGTAAAATGCCTTTCCTTAAACACTGGAAATTTCAGGCCATCCATTTCTTCCCCGGCAGACAAGTAACATCTTAGACATGACCCCAGAGATTCATATGCCAGAACCCATGTGCCTCATTGGCAACACCGAGGAACAGCTAGTGGCTAACCAGGAAGCCCTGAAGATCCTGTCTGCCATCACAGAGCCAGTCGTGGTGGTGGCAATCGTGGGCCTCTACCGCACAGGCAAATCCTACCTGATGAACAAGCTGGCTGGGAAGGAGAAAGGTGAGCACCACTCCCCACACTTGCTGAGTCCCCTCTGTCTACTCGGCTGTCCACATCCAGCCCAGGGTCTGAGCAAAGTTAGGAACCTGGCTGGGCACGGACAGCTAATGTGTGAGCCACAGCAGCTGTCTGTATCCTCTGGTAGATAAAGGGAAGCTCTCTATCTGTGACTTAGCATGTTTTTATTCCCAACAACTTCTGGGAAAAGCAAAATATGTTCCCTTTATATGAAGTAAAACATCAATGAAATAAATTCAATGAAATAGATTTAAACTACTAAACTTTTAGAAGCATGTGATCATGCTTTAGGTCATCAAATCCCAACTTTAAGTCCTTAATATTATTTGCCCATTCCTCTGCTGCCATTTAGATCGTCACTTGTCCTGTCTACTGCCTTGTCATCTTCTTTCCCTTAAATTCTCAAGGGAACACATGAAGTCCAGATCCCCTCTCCCATCACGCCTGCTCACTTTGCTTTTCAGGCTTTGCTGTCGGATCCACTGTGCAGTCTCACACCAAAGGGATCTGGATGTGGTGTGTGCCTCATCCCCAAAAGCCCGGCCACACCCTGGTACTTCTTGACACTGAGGGCCTGGGAGATGTGGAGAAGGTAAGGAGAAAGGATTCTGTTTGGATTGGCGTTATCATCTCGTGTCTTTAAACGCTCTTAGTGAAAGAAACTCCCTTCTCCCCACCCATTAACTTGGTGTTTCTAGTTGATCTGAACATGCTTTTCTCTCACTTTTAAAACAGTCAGATCTTGGATACGAGGAGTGAGAAATAAAGCAGAATCAGCGCTGGGGTGGGTGCAGGGGTGTGGGATTACAGGTGAACTAAGAACGTCCGAAGTACTTAAACACAGTGGAATCAAAATCACCATCACAAACCCAGTCCTGCAGAGAAGACGGGCTAGTTAGCTGGCTACTGGTTAGGTCAAGTTGCTCAACTCATGCCTGTAGTACATGTTTCTCCATAGTTTTGACAAAAAGAGGAAGTCTCTCCAAACATTTTTTTCTTTGTCCTTCCCAACTCGTTGCATGAACAGTAGAAAAATGGGCATTCTCTAGTTGAACACTGGTACGCTTTTAACACATCCCTCATTACGAACAGAACGCCTCAGTCCGCAGCGCTTTACTTTTTTCTTAATGTTCCCTTCATCGTTGGCTTGAATCTTCCAGTGTCAAGTCCTACATGAACTTGGGGAGAAGTGTGTTTATGAACCAGTGTGAGCTGGTTCTGGGACATAGCTAGGTCTTTCTCTTGAACGTCCATTGTGAAAGAGCTTTTGCTTGTTTGTTTTTCTTTAATTTTTTTTTGATTTGTCAAGATTCAACGAGGACAAGCCATAATTTGAGCTTGATTTACTCATCTGCAACAAGAGACAAATAGTTATAAACCCATTCCACAGCGTTGTCTTTGAAAATGCAAGCTGCTTGTGGGTAATAATACATAATATATCTGATAATATATTGTATTATATATAATTATATATATCACACTTATAAGGCAGGTCTGTTTTGTCCCTGTAAAACTTGAGTTTTAAGTATTTTAAAATATAAACATAAACACTTAGATATCCACTAACTTTATTCGTTTTGCAACTATCTCAGAGTCATTAGAAGATTGACTAGTGAGTTAGCATGGGTAGATCACTATAAAATTGCCAAAGAGAAAAGCATGCAAAATACATGCCTACAATTTTTGTTTGTTTGTTTTGTTTAATGTTGGCATATCACCGTTTTATTTTTAGTGCCACTTACCCAAGAATGCCCTGACACAGGACTCCAATTTGTTCTGATTTATTTCTAGATTGATGAAAAGAATGATACTCAGATCTTCTCACTGGCCATCCTTCTCAGTAGCACCTTTGTATACAACACCATGAACAAAATTGACCAGGGAGCTATCGACCTACTGCAGTATCCTTTGGTGATCCAGAACAAGACCACACTAGAGAAAACATGCCACTGGTGTGCCCATGAGACCTTGTAGACTCCTAACAATTAAAATGAGAAGTTAAGGAGGAGGTTCAGTCAGTGACCCACCTGTCACACCAGGACATGAGTTTGGATCCATAGCAAGCACATAAAAAGCCAGCCGTGTGAGTGTGCACCTGTAACCTCAAGGGTGGGGGTGGGTGTGGACAGTCAGAGACAGGAGGATTCCTGGAGCTTCATGCCATTTAATCTAACCAATCAGATAGGTCCAGGTTCGGCAAGAGACCCCGTCTCAAAGAACAAGAGTAATAGAAAAAGATACCCAATACCAATGTCTGGCTTCGAAAGATATGTACATCTGCACACACCGAAGAGCACACACACATACACAGACGTGTATCCATCACATACACTAAAGTATGCTGCAGAGTAGAAACACAAGAAAAAGAGTGCTCGTGCATGTCACCTACGCAGTGTTGATTGAGCTCAGTGCAGAGGGGAAGAAGAGAGAGGATTTCTGGAAGCATAAGCTGCAGCCCCGCTTCTGCCAGCTTTCCTCAGCTGTGTCTCAGCAATGTGACAGAACTCACAGATCTGCTCCAAACAAGAAACTCCTCTGGCGTTAATGAAGCTGAGGAACCTGCTGACGTGAGCTTCTTCCCAGACTTGGTGTGGACTCTGAGAGATTTTTACCTGAGCTTGGAAACTGACAGACATGCCATCACGTCAGATGAGTATCTGGAAAATTCGCTGAAGCTGAAACAAGGTAATGGAGCTTCAGTTTGGGAAAAAGAAAGAAAAGTACCCAGGAACTTATCTTTTTATAGGCAGCTAAGTATATTGTTTTCCATATTTACCCACCCAGCACTTCTACAAAATAATAATGAACATTTAATTGAGAATGTGAACTAATAGATTCAATATTAAATTTCATTAGTATTCCGGTATTGAACACATTTATTTCCTTTCTTTTGTTTCCTTCACTAGTTAATTTTTAATCTTGGTGCACCATTGGGGAAAAGGATATTTATTTAAAGTAAATAGATTAAAGTTATATTCTAGATAAATCCTGTATTTCCTTTTGCAGGTAGTGATGAGAAAACCCAAATGTTCAATCTGCCACGACTCTGCATACAGAAGTTCTTCCCAGTAAAGAAATGCTTTGTTTTTGATTCTCCTACTCATGGAAAAAAGCTTTCCCAGCTCCAGACACTCAGGAGTGATGAGCTAAGTCCAGATTTTCTGCAGGACCTGTCAGAATTCTGTTCTCACATCTTCACCCATTCTAAGATCAAGACGCTTCCTGGAGGCATCCAGGTCAATGGACCCCGTGAGTACTTTTTAAAGGCTTTTCTTCCAACGCGTCATAAAGTATAAAGGACAAATAGAGATTCTTTGTTGATGAATTGACATGACGGAAATCCAATGTAGCATGCTAACAAAGTTACAGTAGGTGTCAAGCACACCACTAGTATTATTTTAGTAAAACCTCAAGGTTAAATCAGATTTAATCATAAGAATGAAGACAACAAGTTAGAGAAACTCTAACCATTAACTCTTGAAACAGATTAACTCATGTGGGTTGACCACATTTCCACAATATATGTTGGATTTTTATTTTATGACACAGTACCTAATTTGCACAAGATAAGATAAAATAAGGTAAGAAAAATACATACATGTTCAATGTAGAAATAGAATTTGCTTGGTACAGATGTTGAACAAAATCCCGTATTGTCTAGAATCTTGAAAGATGTCTATACAAACTCCTTAATGCAGTTTATCTTAAGAAGCCCATGTTTTAGAGCTTGGCAAATACTCTACTGTGAAAAGGATTTGTATTACCTTCATGCAGAAGCTGAAAAGTAATAAAAAAAAAAAAAGGAAAAAAAGGGAGTTTTGATAAAGAATAAGGCCTGGATTACAGAATCATATTTACAGAAGAAATTAACATGTACAACCTTAACCATGATAAAATAAAACAAAGATAAAAATAAATGAAATAGAAAACTGAGAGAAAGAAAAGTGAAAGGGAGCTTAAAGAAGCAAGGACCTAAAGCATTTTAATCAAATTAATATCCATGACTTTTATATGATCATCTTATTTCTTTATGGGGAGGATAAAAATGCAGGCCACCACGTAGATCTTGAGAATTCTTCTATTTTCTTCTTTCAACATGGACAATCTTAGGGTTTTGTTGTTGTTTTTTTTATATGCTTTTCCTCAAAGAAAGAATGACCCGTGTACTTGATCACATAGTTATTCAAAGAACTCCTCTAGGCCACTTGAATACTGTCCAGAATGCTGAAAAACTTCAGGCAATACGTAGTTAGCATTTTCAGAACAAATCCATATAGATTAGACTCCTTTTCCACAAATGAAACAGACATCTCTTCCTTCTCTGAAGGTCTGGAAAGCCTGGTGCAGACCTATGTTGATGCCATCAACAGCGGAGCTTTGCCCTGCATAGAGAACACGGTGGTAACCTTGGCCCGGAGAGAGAATTCGGCCGCCGTGCAGAAGGCCATCACCCACTATGACCAGCAGATGAGCCAGAGGGTGCAGCTGCCCACAGAGACCCCCCAGGAACTGCTGGAACTGCACAGGGCCTGTGAGAGAGAGGCCATGGAAATCTTCAGGAAGCATTCTTTCAAGGATGAGGACCAATGTTTCCAGAAGGAATTGGAGGTTATTATTTTCTCTGTTTGAAAACATCAAATGTCAATAGAAGGCAAGAATACTTCTGCAAATGGTAAAAATAGGACTAAGTAAAAAAAAAAATCAGTCTCCACTAGACTGGAAAATGATGACAGTAACTTATGTGGCCTTGCTATGAGTTTATTTGGCAAAGGAGCAAGCCAGAAAAGAAACTGGCTGCAAAGATCTTGACATTCACACACACACACACACATGCACACACACATCTGTACTAGGTTATACTTATTTTTAAAAACCTTGACTTTATTTTACTTCGCTAAAAATCATCATTAAGAGAATGTTTAGTTTTTATTGATCAGACAGGTAGAATCGCCTTTGCATCTACGAAAATACAATGAACATAGGATTAATAGAATAAGCAGCTACTGTAGCCAGTGATTCAATTTCACATTCACCTTGAGGTACAAAAGCTGAAAAAAAAATTGTTGTTAAATAGTTGGTTGCATTTAAAATTATGGTGCAAGTTAGAGTTCTGCAATCATAAAAATCCATCTAAGGGAGAAATAACATCTTGAGAAAAGAGGTTTAAGTACCTTCAATTGAGTTCAGTGGGACACACAGGCACATTGCCACACACACACACACACACACACACACACAGGCACACACAGACACACACATACAGAAGGGATTCTGTAGACATGTAGACGAAGGAGAAATGATGGGAGAAGGTAATGATGGTAAACATGAGTAAACCTCACTGCATAAATGTAGGAAAATGTCAACATAAAAATTAAAAAAAGAGAGTTCTCTACCCACAGGAGTTCTTTCTCAGTTTTCCTTAATAAAACAACTTAATAAATCTGCTCTTTAAAAACAAAGAAACTTCTAATGCCAATTAATGTAACTTTTCATAGAGTATTATTTTTACAACTTTTCCAGCCTTGATAAGTATGTAATCTTGCATACATTTCTCTAAGTCTCTAAGAAAATAAAATGTAGATTATTTTGAAAAGCAATTCTCGGAAATATTGAAGTGTATCTAACATCTCCATGGGTTTTGTTTTTTGTCCATTTAAAGAGCCTACTAAGTGCAAAGCAGGATGAGATTTGTAAGAAGAATATAGAGGCTTCTGCAAACCACTGCTCAGCCCTACTTGAGAGTATTTTCAAACCTCTGGAACAAGAAGCGGCACAGGGCATCTATGCTAAACCAGGAGGCCACAATCTCTTCCTTCAGAAGATGGAACAGCTGAAGGCACAGTATCGCCAGCAGCCAGGGAAGGGAACACAGGTACCCTTCATCACAGTACGCGTGAGGGATGTGCTTTGTCTCTGCCTGTGAGGTACTCCTCCGCTGCCTGAACATGCACTTGATACAGATGTCATAGCAGGGAGCTCATACTTCAGCGACAGCTATAGATTAAAGCAATGCATCGCCGTGATCATTAGATTCCTATTGTAGCCATCAATGTTCGTGAGCATCAAAGGGACTGATTAGGATTACACAAGACAGAGTCTCAAGTAGTGAAGCCAATTTAAGGAAACAATCATTTATTGGCTTAAAGGTCTTTTATTCCATATATAGATACATTCCAGAGGTCAAATGATGTAATTCATTTTTCTTATATTTATTTCTTTCCAACCCCTACTTCGTTTTTCTGACTGTTAGCTTCATTTTCAAGTCCTTCGCCACCGACACACAAACCAAACATGCCTCTGACATGTTCCAAAAGTTTAGCTTGCCCTTAGAGATTTACCAGTCAGAGGAGGGAAGGCATATCTGCTCCAGCACCAACATTAGCATTTTAAAACACCCAAACGTCAGTGTTCATCCACCCGTAAATAAGACTTTTACCTGTAGCAGCCCTGGGTGCTCTGATGGCCCAGGCCAGCATCATTCCCATGGGTGAGGATTGACGGATAGTCCCAGCATGTAAAGGCTGAGCATTCCCCAAAAGGGATAGTGGAAGAGGAAATAATGACATTTTCCAGATTGCAGATAGCATTTCCTAATTCTAACAGCATATTTTTGGGATTCCCAGGCAGAGGAAATGCTACAGCAGTATTTGAAGGCTAAAGAACCACTGAGCAATACAATTCTGCAAACAGACCAAGCTCTCACAGCCAAGGAAAGGCAGAGGAAAGGTGAGGAGAAAATGGAAGCAATGCATGATGTACAATAAGGTTAAAATTAACACGGCCTGAATTTGCAAGGGGAGAACACTGTCCTCTTCCTACAGACTTGTCCTTTCCTTTCTCCTCAGAGGAACGAGAGAGAGCCAGCGCTGCAAGGGCTGAAGCACAGAGGCTGGAGGCGATTCGCATCCAGGAAGAGCAAAGGAGAGCAGAGGAGGAGAGACAGTATCAAGAGAAACTGAGGCAAATAGAGATCAACAATGCAAACTTCAAGGCGAGTCAACAGAGGATCCAGAAACAGAGGCTCCAGGTACTTGTGAAGTGTTTCCCCTTAGATGTCACTTGGCTACCTAGTCTCTTTCCCACCTGTCAAGGTGACATTATGATGACCCATGGAGAGAGGCAGTCTCACATGATAGCTGAAGGTGAGAACCCTTCAGCTCAGGCACCACCTTTTACCAAATGTATATTCACGCAAGCTGTCTCTTCCCTCTGTCCTTTGGTGCAGTGTAGAGGCAGGAACAATGTGTTATTATAACAACATATTATTAGATGTGTTATTATATATGAAATTATAATAAATGATCTAATATTTGCTATTATAATAAATGATCTAATATTTGTGTTTAGAAGGATGTTTGGCACAGAGTTATTAAAAAGAAAGGAACCATTTCTTGATCACAATAACTACCTCTTGATCATGGTGGGCTTTTTGTTTTTCATTTTTTACATGAGGTTCATGTTCTGTGTCTTCTGCTCCGTCTTATCTTGATTATTTCTGTTCCTCGTGGTTGTTACTTTGCAGTTTGTTTCTTTAGTTTTATCAGCACGCAAGAAGCAATAGCTGTTATTTAGCAGGTACAAAGCCCTTTGTATGCATTCTCTAATCTAATCACCATGAAGCAGAACTATTGTGTCCCCAGCTCTCATGTGAATCCCCCCATATACTCCAAATATTGGTATCACACGGGCTTGCAAATGGGATCTTCAAGCATTGTTGCTTCTGCAGAGATGCTGTAAAATTCCTAGCCATCCCTTTTATAAAACTGTCCCTACCCATCCCCAACTTACCAGTACATCTACAGGTAGCTTTAAGAGCTACTCTAACATATTTTTTTATATCCCAGTGCTTTCCTGAAAGGCAGAGTAGACAATCGCTTCTGCCAGTCAAAGTGTGGCAACCTGGACCTCAGTCTTCAGCTAGGACACAGGGGGCCGCACTCAGCATAGAAGGATGGTACCTTGACACTCTGGGTACAGCCTCTTCTTGTAGAAAAAAAATATATGACACTATTACATGTGTGAATGAAAATTGAAGTGACTGAGATTGCCAAGGAAGTTTTTCGATCTGAAGAAGGGTGTGTTGGGATGGAATTCTAGAGACAGTAACTTTCTGAGATTGGAACATGCCATGCCTGGAACTAGAGGGGAAAAAAAAGAATGAAAAGTGCTAGAAGTAGGCTGTATATGTATGGATAGAACAGAGCTCTTCAGGAATTATCTATTGCTGCCATAGATTTACGTAAGTATAGACAAGCCAATGGGTTAGAAATGAGAAAAGAGTTTGATCACAGTTTTTTTTTCATTGTTGTTGTTTGTTTGTTAAGTTTATTTGTTTCTGTTTATTGCATCTTAGGAAGAGGCTGAGAGGATCAAGGCAGCACAGGAAGCTGAATTCAGAAAACTTCAAGAGCAGCTTCAAGCCATGAGGGAAAGGAGCCACCACTCATCAAATGACTGTATCTTACTCTAATACACCAAAACCCAGGACTTCCTTTTCTCATTGCTTCTCATTGAAGACGCAAAAGAACAAGAGACTAAAGGACCTGAGGCAACCATTAGTACCGAAGCTCCACTGTCCCCTGTGCGACTGCCATCCTTATTGCAAAGTCTTTTAAGTTATTCAGGAGTGTTAACCAAGTGGAACTTGACCAACATCTTGAATTCCTGCTGGTGGACATGGGAAGGAGGTTCTAATGAGAACTTAGAAACAATGCGTATTTCTCATGTGGCTAAAGGCTTCTAGTCTGTGGGCAGTGGGCTGACTCCTCAGTACCATCCGTTGTCCATCTGCATGTTCTTGCTCTCCTTTTCTTTGGGAACCCAATCACATTATAGTCAACCTTGTCAAATGCCCAGCTATCATGTCACTCATACTTAGATGTAGATTTGTTTCTACTGATTGCCTTCTCTACCACGTTCACATTCTGTCTTTTGTCATGTTCATTAAAGAAATTCTTCATCACTGATACTGTGTTTTTGATGCACAGAATTGCCATTTGGCTCTGTCTGTTTTCATTTTTCTTCCTTAAAGTCTACACCTGCCCATGCATTTTGCTCACTTTCTACAAGATTCTTAAACGTAGTAATCATACTGAGTTTAAATCATTTTAATATTTAAAATTTAAAAATGTAAGTGATTTCTGCTCATTCAGAGTCTACCTGGGTCTATTTGCTTTATCTCTTTAAAATAAAGACTACACTTGGTTTTTCTGTGTGTCTCAAAATTCTTTGAAGTAAATGCTGTACAGTATTGGTAACATAATTAAGATTTATGCTTGGGATGTGCACTCCCCTTTTGTATTAATATGTTTCTGACAAACCTTGGCTCAACGTAGTTGTTTAGCTGGAAATAGCCTTAGTTTGTTCTAGTAAAATAGCTCTTGCCTGTGTCCATCCAGAAGATAAGAGAGGGAGAGGGAGAATGACAGGGAGAGAGATAGAATTAATTGCTTATGTAAGTCTCATTCTGTTGTTCCAAAAAATGGAATAAAAATATAAAGTGCACTGAATTGATCCTGTATACCTCAACATTACATACTAAAATTCTTGCCCATATAAAATTTACATGTAATGGGACCGAAGCATCCTAAAAGAGGCAAGAAATGAAAACTGAGATGAAATGTAGCATTTTCAGCATTTACAACTACGTTGATTAGCATTTATTTTCTCACTTTAGATAAATGTTTACTTTCAAGCTTGAATAGTTACTGTTTCATTTAGAGTAGAAATAAAGTTAAATTAGCTTCATGACATTATCATCCAGATAGACACCTCAGAATAAGCAGAGAACACAATCTACAAGAATAGTCAACAAAATAAGAGTAAATTACTTCTGGATGATAGCGGTAGGGATTTTCATATACAAACTTAAATCTATGTTTCTATGTATTTATCAGTCATCTTTCTGTCATCTATCTGCCTATGCTATTTTAATGAAAGGATTAAATTATGTTAATAATATGAGTACTTTTTAGGGAATGGTGGGGTTGTAATGAAAAGAGAAGAAATGAATCAAAACTGTGAGTTTCATAGTGGCTGTTGGGGTAAAAGCAGGAGGAGCCAGCTCAGGTGGCCAAATGGCGGCAAGTGGTCAGATGTTGCAATGTCGTGCCTGTTTTCATTCACCCTCTGCACTTGACCCCACACCCCCTGAATCCCAGGATACATTGCTCTTCCTTGGGCATTCACCAGGGTCTGAAGCTAAGATCAGAGGTATGCAACCCATTATCATCTTCCTAAAGTGGGCTTACAGAACGAGAGACCAGGCCCTAAGCCTCTACAGAGCTACTGCTCTGCCGAGATTTCCTCCTAACTGCTACCTTAATCTCAGGTGTCTCTTGGCGTTTTCTGTCAGGCTTTGCAAAAATGAAAAGATGCTCTTCTTGCAGATGGTTTAGTTGTCAAAATGCGTACTTTGTAATTTTTTTAATATAGCCATACTTAATGTTCCAAAGGTCCACAATGCTATGGAATATATCAATCCCTTTGTACTATCTACTCATGAAAAATAACTGTCAGGTTTGCTCTTATTTCTTTATCTTGTGATTAAAAAATGTATAACTCGTGCATCCATCAACATAATATGCTAGAATTAATCTTATTAAGCTCTTTAAATTCAGAGTTAAAAATCTCTTCGATCTCGGTATCTCAATCTTCTTTTGCAGTAAGAACAAAATACAAAAGCAAGGAAACAAACAACAAAACCCTCATACCCTATAACTTTGTAAACTCATATATTCCTTCCCTTAGAGCTCAGAAATGTACATATGCAATACAACACATACAATTAAGTATAGTGGGATGTTTTTGGATCTGCCTTTGATATAAATAATGATGCAGAGGCCTTTTAATATTTTAAAGCTTAGGCCCATTTTGCTAGGGCAGTCTCCTAGGTAGCTATCTAGCTTAATCCAGCTAATCCTGGCCTTACACCCTGCCACATAGCTAGCTCTTCCTCTCTGCTCTGCTATGGTCTATTCATTCACCTCTGTGTCCACTGGCAAATCTCCCACATCTCATTTCTTTTCTCAGTCTCTCTCTTTCTCTTTCTCTACTCTCCATCTGATGTTCCTCCCTCCACTTCTACTGGATACTGGCCATCAGATCTTTATTACAGCCAATCATACTGATTCTAGATTAGTGAAGAAGAACAAATATTTACACAATATGAGACTGGTTGTGGGCCATACTAATAACAACACCAAAATCCTGCCATCATTTAATGCTCTGCTGGTACGGAATTAAAAATTGAATATACAGAGACACACCTTCACACAATGTACCCCAATACCTAAGGCTCAGAAAATAAAACATGAATTATGGCAGAAAGATTGTAACACAAAGAGGGCAGGACTCCTGCTGCCAGACAGTGTGCCCTAGATGGAACAGGAAAAATGCACCCAAGAAACCTCAACAATTTGGTTGACTGAACAAAACTGGTACAATGGCAACGTCAGATACAATGCTAACATGGACAGGGGTAGTGTCACATGATTCCATTCCTAAATGAAGAGTTTCAGAAAGTCAATGACTGCTTTGAAGGAGAATCAGTTTCTTGCACAGAAAAAAGATCACATAGTAGCCCAACCTCAAATGGGCACACACACACACACACACACACACACACACACACACACACACACATATATATATATATATATATATATATATATATATATATATATATATATATATGCAATGTTAAATGGACTCAGTAATATGTATATATGTGTGTGTGAATATGAATTAATATCCGTTTTGTACACTGCTGGATTCCAAGCAGGAGTACCAAGCTTTGTTCTTCCCAGCAATGACGGCTTTGGATTGTACCATCAAATTTACAGCCTCAGCCTTAACCGTCCACGGTCTTTTCAGCTCTCAAGTGTCATGACACTCTTTCCCCTATCCAAATTATTCATTTTACTTCCTATAATTATATGCTCTTGTAATCCTGGTAGAGATGATTATATTATTTGCATTTATGTTTATATGTTTGTCTGTCTCTGAAAATAGTCATCTTCTTGACCTATGAAAATATTCATGTGTAGAAAGAATACACATGAATAATATGGCTTTTTATAAATGGGCACTGACAGTTTGTTGGTTTTAGTTGAGTAGCATGTAAGCCCCCGATATAATCACAGTAAATACAATTTTGCTATTGAAACAGTTTTTAATTCTTTAGCTGTTTTGCTTTAACGGGTGGTACTAAACATTTCGGTCATACTGACAAATACCGTTTTCTTCTCTATATACAAAACAGCAAAACTGAGGTTCTGAAAGGATTGGTGTTACTATCCAGAATTAGATTCAAAGTTTTTGGTGGTCTTCAAACTTTTGTGATTTGTCTGTTATAGAACTACAGAAAGCCCAATTCAAATAGTTAATAAATGTAGAAGAAATGAAGTGTGTACTTTGCCCCTTGCCCTCACGTGCCTTCTAGGGTGACCCTGAGGATGATTCATGGATCTTTGCCCTTGCTGTACTTTTGAACAATAGTTTATCTACAACAGCATGAGCACCACCAACCTCCAGGTCCTGGAGCAGCTGCAAACTCCTTCCAAAGACGAAACCACCACGTTTCATTGAGCTTTGTAATGGCAGCTGAGACTTTCTTCTTCTTTGTGACTTGATTTTCTGAGTGAAGGAGAAATGCCATAAATGTGGTTTTAAGTTTGGTCAGCATGTTTCTTTCTGATCTTGTTTGATCTAATCAGGACTCTATTCTGTAGCTGGCAACAGACAAATGGTCCATGACATCCCAGAGAAGAGTTTGAAGCTGGTCCCAAGAATCAAAGCAAGACCTGGGCAGAGAAAGGCTCAGAAGAAGGCAGGATCTTCTAAGCCCAATCAGTTTTCATTGACATAAAGTTCTAAGAGGGATTGAGGTTCATGATACTGGGGATTGCTGTTTGGTTCCTGTGGGTTATTATTTAAAAGACACCAGTGGCTGGAATGTTAAATTATCAAGGAAATTTATGCCTCAATAGTAGACCAAGTCATGATAATACAATTAGTACTGAAATGAAAATGTGCTGAGTACTTTTAATGTCATAATTTCCCAAGACTTACACAGTCATGCTCCTTGTGGTGTGTTTTGACTGGTCTTTCCTAGTAAACATACATAGTTCATCAGACTGAAAGTTGCTGTAAATACAAAATCACAATGAAATCAAATTATTTTGTGACACTTAAATTATTTCATGCAATATGTTTTGCTACTGGATGAACTGTCTCATACTTCACACAAATTGAATTCAGACAGCAAATGATCCAGAAAAAAAATTATAGATACAGCTCTTCAGTAAAATCATCAAATCCCTCTTTTTATTTCTTCACAAGATAATCTTCTTCATTCTACAGCCTATGTAATGTGTTATTTTAATATTATAAAACTAATGTATTGTTTACAAACACATATAACTAATGGCACCTAGAGGAGATATCTGCTTCATTTCTTCACTCATTTTCCATTCTGTGAAAAATGTGTACTTGAAAGTAGGATATATATATATATATATATATATATATATATATATATATATATATATCACAGAGACATATTGTAGCCTTACGACTAATACGATATATGCACTATGAAGAAGTGAAAAAAACTCCAAGTGTATGAGGTTAATTTAGAGTGTGCAAAGACTTTTATGACAGTTGCTGCTTATATTTGGATATTACTTCTATATTGACCTCAAAGAACTTTTGTTTTCCTCCTGACATTTTTTATTTCAAAATAGTGTCCTTATTCATCACATTTTGTTCCTTGGAGTATCCTCGTCATTCCTGACACTGCAAAAATAATCAGATATACTTCTGAGATTTTAAAATGCTTTATTAGCCAACCACTCAACAAGTATTTAACAAATACGCAATGGCAGACACCCCGCAATGGTTGGGTAAATAAAGCAGACAGTAAACAATTGGCAGAGTCAATAACACAATTCCATGTGTGTCATGGGGATTGTTAATGTGTGCAGTATTAATATCATGTACGGGTTGAAAATATTTAAGTTAAAAACTTTTCGTTTGCATCAACTTTTCGGAATAAGTTAATTGCCCACGGTGGCCAGAGGGGCCGTATTCCTGTTGCAATACTCTGTTGTTGCCCAATTTGGAGATTCAGGCAAGACAGGCTACCGGCTTTCCTCTTGACTCCCACAAATAACGGTTTTACTGCTCAGAAAGTAAGCATAAGCCAATGTAGTTTCATTTTCAGTTCTCTATCTCCCACAACAGATATGCAACCTCCGGTTTGATTCTGAGTCTTTAAGAGCAGAACTTTCAGGAGGAATCAGGAGCAGCAGCAAGTCTAAGCGCGCTGAGCCAAGGTGCAGAGAATCATTTGCGGAGGCAGGTGAGTTGCCAGAGACTCGGTACCTCATGTACACATCTTTGTTTGGTTGGTTATTTGTTTGATTTGCTTTACATCCTGGTTGTACCCCCATCCCTCCTCGTCTTGCAGTCCCGCCCGCCCTTCCCCTCTCCCCCCTCCCCTACTCCTCAGAAAAGAGGAGCTCCCCTTCCCGTCCACCCCAGCTCAACAAATTCACATCAGGACTGAGCGCGCCTTCTCCCCTGGCCTTGCAAGGTAGTCCCACCAGGGGGAGGTGATCAAAACGCTGGCAGGGAGTTTCAGGGAGGTCCCAAGGATCCAGGGCGCAAACTCCACGCTGGGGTAGGCAGCGTGACACTGGCGGGTGGGCTACGGTGACCAGAGATGGCTCGGTGGTCCCACGGCTTGTGGACAGAGTTGTTCAGTGCTGCGGGAGGCCTGGCGACTCTGGGGCTTTGGCCAGGCAAGGGGATGCTGCTTTCCAACGGGGAGATCAGCCCGGATCTGCGCTATTCTGCGCACCTTTTCCACTGTAAGGGGGAGCAACTCCTTTCTAGTTCAGACGGACCTAACTCCAGGCTCCAGGCAGCGCTTTTTCCTCACCCACCACAGAGCTTAGGTGCTCCGCCCTGTGCTCAGTCTGGAGTTGAAAAAACAGTCGGAAAGACTGAATACCTTTCGCCCTCTAGCGCATCTCAGTGGTATCAGCTGCACGCTCGCTCCCTGCAGCGCAGGACTCAGGCGCACTTACTAATCAGAGGTTATAAACAGGAGTAAAACCTGAGCCCCTTGATATATTTGCAAACCGTTTCAAAGTACGTTGTCCATCCAAAAACGGTTTCAGACAGGTTTGGGGACTTTTGAAAAACCTAGTGTCTAGGCAGTTTTATCTGTCTTCTTTGTGACTTGGACTACCTTTGGAAACCATGGCTTTTTTAGATGACCCAATTCGAGCTATGTAGTTCTACTTATTTAATGTACATTAGAAGCTTCCTAGTCGGGATAATAACTCAGTCCTTCATGCGAACAGGGAGAAAAAAAGTGACATGCTTATCAATATTTTCCTAATAGAGATAGAACTGGTCATTAAGGTAATGTCTTTCACGGAATTTAAAGTGAACTAGGGTTTCCCATTCGACACCTATTCTAAATTGATGTTAAGTGAACAAACACCTCATCGCTTTTAAGATGACACAAGAAGATCAGCACCCAATAAGAGTACCATAATACCATAATGCCACGTCACTAATCAGTTGAGAATAACTGATACTTCCCAATTAAAAATTGATCAGTTTAGAAATCCTGAATTGGGGAAGTTGATTCAGACAGAGAGGTTTTGGTAGTAGGATCTGTAAAAGGGAGAAAGGCAGATTGGTGCTTATTCCCTGGTCCACTGAGTAACTTATAGACTCCCTGAACATTCATTCAGCACATATGCATGGCTCCAAAGCACGTGAAAAGAAAAGGCAATAGTCTTTAATACACAAGGTTTTCTTTAATTTTTTTATTTATTACAATTTATTCACTTTGTATCCCAGCTGTAGCACCCTCCCTGGACTCCTCCCAGTTCTGCCTCCCTCCCTTCTTCCCTTCCTCCCTCTTCTTCTCCCATGCCTCTCCCCCAGTACACTGATAGGGGAGGTCTTCCTACCCTTTCATCTGACTCTAGCCTATCAGGTCTCATCAGCACTATCTGCATTGTCTCCCTCTGTGGCCTGTTAAGGCTGCCCTCCTTCCCCCCCCCCCCGCCCCGCTCAGGGGGAGGTGATCAAAGAGCCAGCCACTGAGTTCAGGTCAGAGACAGCTCCTGTTCCCTTTACTAGGGTACCCACTTGGACACTGAGCTGCCATGGGCTACATCTGTGCAGGGGTTCTAGGTTATCTCCATGAATGGTCCTTGGTTGGAGTATCAGTCTCAGAAAAGACCCTTGTGCCCAGATTTTTTGGTTCTGTTGCTCTCCCTGTGGAGCTCTAGTCCCCTCCAGGTCTTTCTATCTTTCCCTTCTTTCATAAGATTACCTGCACTCTGCCCAAAGTCTGGCTATGAGTCTCAGCATCTGCTTTGATACCCTACTGGGTAGAGTCTTTGAAAGGCCCTTTGTGGTATGCTCCTGTCCTGTTCCCTCTTTTCTCCATCTTCTGATGTCTACCCAGTTTGCCTTTCTAAATGAGGATTGATCATCCTACCCAGGGTCTTCCTTCTTGCTTAGGTTCTTTAGGTATACAGATTTGAGTATGTTTATCTTATATTATATTTCCAATATCCACTTATAGGTGAGTATAGACCATGTGAATACACAGGGTTTTTAACAGGTTCATTGCCACAGTCAGAACTTTGCCTACAGAAGTGTTTATTCATTAGGGTGTATTTTCAGAAAAATAAGCCAACTACATACTTGCCATTTATCATAGTACAGAGAATAAGCTGAAGGTTCTGAGGCTGGTCTCAGCTGGTAGAGAACTTGGCTAGCATTTGTGAAGTTCTGGCTTCAATCCTCAGCAGCATAAAAATCCGGCATGGTGATACCCATCTATGATCCTGGCACTCAGGCAGTGGAAACAGCAGAACCAGTAGTTCAAGACCAGTCTCTGCTACAAAAAGAAATAAAATAAAAATAAATAAAGATTTTTACAAAAATTAGAGGCCATTTGGACTTGGTGGGATCCTACCTGAAAAACAAACAAACAAACAAACAAACAAACACTTAAAATGTAACAAAGCCCTCACCCTCAGGGAAAAAAAATCACAATTACAAAGCCAGGTATGGTGATCCATGCAGGTAACCTTAGTAGACCAGGAGAGTTTGTGGCAGGTGGCAGAAAGGTTGGGTGTTCAAAGCCATTCTGCCTATACAGGATATTTGATGCTAGCCTGGGCTACGTGAGACCTCGTTGAAACAGAATAAGGTGGAAACTATCAGCTATTCAATTTACTTAAAGCACTGCACTTGGCTCAGCTGGTTGTCAAGCATGACTTTACTTCGTATCCCAATACAGAACGACCTGGAGAAATAGCTAAGACACAATGGGTCATTGCCCTTAACCTGACCAAGAAAGCTTAATCCTGTCAAATGTATCGTATATCTTTGTAAAGCAAAAAGCTAACTGCCATGCATGCTTCTGAAAAACAATCCCCCTTGCTTGCCTGTTTGCCACACCTTGTGGTCTTAGAGTATAAAATGAGAATGGAAACTGGACTCTGTGCAGAAGGCTTCAGAAGCTATCCTGGCTTTGTCCATTGGTGAATACATCTCCTCTCTTCCATTCTCATCGATTTGGGAGTGATTATTTCAGAGCGATTCCTGAAACGTTGTCATCTGAACTCAACAACAACAAAGGGGGAAAAGAGCAAGCCTAAGTAGATGCACACATTGTACAAATGCCGGTCTTACCTGGAGGTGGCTTGGAGAGCTCATATTCTACTAAGAAGGCTTTTTGGGGTTTGCAGGTGACCATGGCATCTGGTGCCAGCATGGAGGCTCCCATCTGTCTAGTAGAAAATGAGAATGAAGAGCTGAGGGTGAACCCCAAAGCAATAAACATTCTTGAGAAGGTTACTCAGCCTGTGGTGGTGGTGGCCATTGTAGGACTGTACCGTACGGGGAAGTCTTACCTGATGAACCGCTTGGCAGGACAGAACCATGGTGAGTCTTGTCCTCACACAGAAGGATAGAGGCCATTTACTTAGACTCACTGACAATGCAAACTGATCATTCTCTGTTGCTCATATCTATTTCTGTCACATCACTTCTCTTTGTATAATATAACCAGAAGTGAATCTCAAGACTGCAGGACATTTGCATGCTTAATGTTTCCTGATGACATTATATTTCTTTTTAAACTTTATGTGTAGTTCATATGTTTATTCATAGCAACAGAGAATTCTGTACTTTGTTGCCAAAATCTCACCTGGTTTTAATTTTTGCTAATGTGGTGAGCTAGGTTGTGTACCAGTGGCTCATCGACAAGGTGGAAGAGCTCTTTACATCTTGCCATTTGCATCTCATGTCTTACTTTGTAAAATGCACACTCAACTCTTTAAAAAAAAAAAGCAGGTCATTCTGCTTTCTTCTTATTGATCTTTAGACACTCTGCCTTGGTCCCACTACTTTCCTCTTTATATGTAGACCATGCAACTACTTTTTCCTCCTAATGTCTTGTACCTGAATCAGCTGAGCACCATTATGGGTGGAACTTCTGCTTCCTATATTCTAAGGATTAATATACATCCATGGTGCTTTCTTATCCTCTCGTACAGGCTTCAATCTGGGTACCACAGTGAGGTCTGAAACTAAGGGCATCTGGATGTGGTGTGTTCCTCACCCCAGCAAGCCAGAATACACACTCGTGCTTCTGGACACGGAAGGGTTAGGTGATGTGGAAAAGGTAAGCCTGGTCTTGATTCTTTTTTTTTTTTTTTTAACTTTTACTAATTAGACTTTATTCATTCTGTATCTCCCCATAAGCCCCTCCCTCCTCCCCTCCCGGTCCCACCCTCCCCCCCTTCTGCATGCATGCCCCTCCCCAAGTCCACTCTGGTCTTGATTCTTTGCATACCATTTGATTGCTGCTTTAGTCCACCTTCTGTGCTGGTTGCAAGGATTGCAACCAAGTTATTGATAAAGAAGGTAAGCTGCTTCCCTTAGTGAAGGTGCTTCTTTGATACTTTGTTGTCATGAATGATAGTATTTCATTCCTGTGAATAATACAGTTAAGTAAATATTTATTGAGGAGCTGGGTGTCAGGGTTTCTATTATATACTTCAGGTACTGCAGTGCAAGGCACAGGCACATAGCTTAAATCCAGGAATAAGCAGACATATTCTGTGAGATCCGTGTGCAAGGTGCTGTGGGTTCACAGAAATAGACAATCGAGTTAATTTCATTGGATAATGCCTCCTCGAGGCAAGTTGTCACCTTTGAGGTCACTGATCATTTGATGTAACTCTAGGTAGTAGCAGCAGCCTTAGGGCTAAACATTTTATTATGGGGTATAAAATTTCCAGTAACCAACTGTGTATTAAGCCAAGATGGATTCTCATAGAAGCCAGTGGCTGTCTGACCTAAGCTTTGCTTCTATTCATCTGAATTCAGCAATTTTTTTAGGGATATCAAGATAGGGATTTGAAAAAAATATGTCTTCAGAATATAAAAGATTTGCTGCCTGCTACTTCATATCTAGTGAGCACAGAATCTATATTACACACGAATAAGGGAGACACCACAGCATACCCTGATGATCAGGTATGACCCACTGACTCGGAAGTGTCTGGGATTGGGCAGCATCTAACTCTGTTTGCCTGGCTTTCACAGCGTCACATCTTATGTCCTGCCCCAACTTCCAAGTCCTTACACATAGCAACTGCTTCAGTCAAACAAAATCGGTGTGCAATGCATTTATAAGATCTGTACTTTATAATAATTTTTATTTACTGATTAGTGATCTTCCCTCATGTGGAATGTATTTAAATCTGTAATTATACTTACCAGCAATTATTTAGAAAGAAACTGTTTTTCTACCATCACCATCATATCCCAGTTACACAGCCACATTGCTCTAAAGTTACAAAACCCTTTGGACACTTATTAAAATTAATCATTTTCTTCATTATTACCATTTCATCCTACTTTTGGCACATTGATCATCATGGTTTTATTTCTATATTTACGGGACTTTCTGCCCTTCCATATTGCTATATGAAAATTTACTTTCACGCAGCTCAGCATAGTACCTGATATTTTGTAGATGTTCTGTGAAGAGTAGTTGAATTTAAGTAAACATTCCTGCCTCTAACATGACATACTCAGTAACCTATTAAGGAAATGGTGTATTAACATTGTGCATTCATTGTGTTTAGGCACTATAGCAAGCATTTTTCATCTTCGGACAGTGTCATTGATTTTGGCTATGGAAACTGGTAAGGGTCAGTTTCAATGCTGAAAAGGAAATATAAATTTGTTATTCTTCATCTTATTATTCTGCTGTGTTTCTGCTTACGCAGCAAATAAACAAATGAATGAAAGAATGGAGGTTAGAGTCTGAAGTCCCTTGCTTTCATGTGTCTTCCAGGGTGACCCTAAGAATGACTCATGGATCTTCGCCCTGGCCGTGCTTCTAAGCAGCACCTTGGTCTACAACAGCATGAGCACCATCAACCACCAGGCCCTGGAGCAGCTGCAGTATCCTCCCAGGGGCCAGATGCCATGTTTGCATTGGTTTAGGAGAGGTGGCATCTGGGAGTTATTGCTTATGTTATTCAGTTCTTAGGATTTAGGGAAAATGGAATGAGGGACAAAAGAGAGGGCTTGTAAAATTGGTTTGTAAGATAAATCTGAGAAGGTGGAATGGTGCCTTTTTTTCCTTAGCTAAGGTCCCAGCTATGTAACTGAACTGACAGAGCTGATCAGGGCAAAATCCACAGCTAGGTCTGAAGAAATGGATGACTCTGATAGGTTTGTGAGTTTCTTTCCAGACTTCATCTGGGCTGTTCGAGATTTCGTTCTAGAGCTGAAGTTAGATGGACGCGTCATCACAGAAGATGAGTACCTGGAGAATGCCCTGAAGCTCATCCCAGGTATCAAGGCTTAGCGTGGGTAGAAATGGCTCTAGCTGTTTCGTTCAGTACTTGGCAGAAATGTTGATTTGACACTGACATGAGCTCTAAGCCAACAATAAATAATGATAGCTGAAATGCAATTGGTGAAAGTTTTCCATGGTTATTACTCTGGAAAACCTTTAGCTGTGTATGTTCTATAATATCCACACACCACACATTGCGCTTTGTATTTCTGTTCTCTGTGTGTGTGTATATATATATATATATATATATACACATATATATATATATATATCCCTAACAATATTTATCCTTACCCTAAATACATACAAATATATAAAACTTAAACATTAAATACATAATATAGTATATATATTGATACATGTATATATATATCTTTCTACGCACATATATATGTATATATGTACATACATACACACAGGGAGAGTTCGCAGATCACATAAAATCCCATGAAGTGAAATGATCTCTTCCAGATTGCAATTCTTTTGTACAGTGTGTTTCACTGCAACTTGGCTACTTAAGATTTCTTAGAGAAAGACCGTATCAAAATAGCTAAGAAAAACCATTGATATTTCCTTTCAACAAGACTCAAATCTTTTATTTTACCTTTCTTATAACATTCCCCTCTTCTCTTGACAGCCTTATGGTTATCATATTTGACATAATATATCTGTCGAATATATAATATTTAGCTCTTGAGAGAGGCTGCTCAATAATTTTATTCATTCATTCATTCATTCATTCATTCACTTTTTTCTTTTCAACAAACATCCATTGAATGCCTGGGTGGCATGTGATTGCTGTATTTTCCAGTCAAGAATAACAGACTCTGACTTAGGAAACAGTCTTTACATTACATTGAGTTAACATTACTCATCATAATTGTCAAGGCACAGAATCTCCGAGTGTAGTTATGGTGCATGTCTACCAGAAGCTGATATTTGTATTTTTCTGTCCTGACCTTATATCATCTTATCTTTCATTTTTTCCCCCAATAGTATCTTAATTGTTTTCTGTATCACTTTGTTTTATGGCCCATGTTTCATTTCTGACACGGATACAGGAAAATCAGAAAACTTTTTTCTAACACTTTGGTTTCATTCTGCCATTATCCAGTAAAAGTTTGTTAAATTCTTAATTCATTGGAGCCTATACCAAGTGCTGGGAAGACCAAAGATTAGTTGCCCTCATCCCATGGTTGGATGGTCCCATTAATCTTCATGATTACTTCATTGCTCATAAATAAACCTTGTCTTAGATCAGTGCTTTTCAACCTTCCTAGTCTCCAACAATAAAATTCTTTTATTGCTACTTTATGACTGTAAGTTTGTTACTGTTATGAATTATAATGTAAATATCTGCATTTTCCAATGGTCTTAGGTGACCTGTAAAAGGTCCATTTGTCCCCCAAAGGGGTTGTGACCCACAGATTGAGAACCACTGTCTTGGATTTTTTAATGAGGAATAGTCGTATGTGAGGATAACAGCAGACATAGAGATAAAAGAATGGCTGAAATCACAAGCTCTCTGTAAATGAAAACACTGGGCCCCTAGCCTGAAGGCTGTTGTTTCAAAGAACAATTTTTTTAATATATGTTTTACAGGCAGGAGTCTCAAAGTCCAAAGTTCTAACATGCCTAGGGAATGCATCAGGCACTTTTTTCCAAAACGAAAGTGTTTTGTCTTTGATCGACCTATAAAAGAAAAAGAACTCTTGGTCCACGTTGAGGAAATTCCAGAAAACCAGTTGGATCACAATTTCCAAGTGCAATCAAAAGTATTCTGTTCCTACATCTTCTCCAGTGCAAAGGTCAAGACCTTGAAAGAGGGAATCATTGTCAATGGAAACCGTGAGTCACCTTTGCCCCAGGGGATATCTCTTATTTTGAAATACTGTGCTCTAAAACTTTGATCAAATGTTAGCATCTGATATGATACTCACACACTGCTCAGAAAATTTTGCTTCTCTTAAATATCATCTCTGTTCATTGGGCTTTGTTAAAAATCTAATAATCTTAAGACATAACCAGTGCTCAAGGAAGCAAGTTGAAGGTGAAAGAAGGAATACTTGTGTTTGAAGTAATATACAAGGACACAAGTGCTTCTCTGCCCAGCTAGAAAAGACAATTCTACAGTAAGGAAGAAACCAAGGCTCCTAAAAGTTCACTGTAAGTTTGAGATAAAAAAATTCACTAGTTAAGTTAGGGCGATGGCTCAGTCAATAGAGTGCTTGCCTTGCAAGCATCAGTTCAACCCCCAGATTCCACCTGTAGAGTTGCGAGTGGTGATGTACAGCTGTAACGGGGGGCCAGGAAGAGACAGGCAGGTTCTGGAGGCTTGCTGCCCTGCCAGCCTTGCCAACTTCCAGTCAGTGAGAAACTTTGTTTCGATGAGATATAAAATTAAAGGCAGGCAAAAGTGTCAGAAACAGCCTCTGCTGGTGTGACATGTCCAGCTGTACTCTGAGGAGAGTTGCCTAATCTTATTGTAAATTGATATGCCATGTTGTGGTTGATATCTCCGGGAGGCCTGTCCTTTTTGGAAGGGAAATGGAGGAGGTGGGGGTTATGGAGAAGGTGGGAGAGGGAGGGAAAACTGTGTTCGGGATGTAATACCTGAGATAATAAATTAATGAAAAATATAAAATTAAATGAGGGATGGCATTTGAGGCAACAAAGGTTGACATTTGGTTTCTACAAGCACACACACAAATACATGTAACACACACACAACTCCCTCCACACAGATTAACTATTGTCTTATATACACATCCTTCAGTGAAATGGGTTTGCACAGTTACATGATGGCCGTACTAAGAGCTGTTCCCCTCACATACTGCTCTGTTACTAGTTATTATCTTGAAATTTCTGAAGTTTTTTTTTTTTTTTAGATTATCACTTTTATTTGAGGCTGGGTCTCACAAAATAGGCCTTTGCTCTCATAGATGAAGCTTTCATTGGCTAAGTAGCCTCCTTCATTTCTGATTCATGAATCATGTGAAAATAACAAAAGCTAGCTGGATAGTCAACCTTAACATTCTTTGCCTTGGTCAGGACTGGCGACTCTGGTGACAACCTATGTGGACGCCATCAACAGCGGGACTGTGCCGTGTTTGGAGAATGCGGTGACAACCCTGGCTGAGCGTGAGAACTCCATAGCTGTGCAGAAGGCAGCTGACCACTACAGTGAGCAGATGGCCCAGCTAGTGAGGCTCCCCACGGACACGCTCCAGGAGCTGCTGAATGTGCATGCAGCCTGCCAGAAGGAAGCCATCGCTGTCTTCATGGAGCACTCCTTCAAGGACGAAAACCAGCAATTCCAGAAGAACTTGGTGGTACTGTGTCTGTGTGTTTTCTTTTTGATTCCAGATACCCACCTTTAGGAGTGTTGATTAATGGCTACCATTAATCTGCCTTTGACATTCATCTCAATTCCTGTGAGTGACAGTGTTCTATAGGATCAAAAGATTAATTTTTCATTGATGTGTAGGAGTTTTCAATGAATCTAATAGCGTGAAAACCCCATGTGAATTAACTCAGTTTTGCAGAGTATAAGCATGCTTCAGGGAAGCATGGGGGAAGGCTTTGCTCAGGATACCAGACCACTGAAACAAGATGTAACTGAGTTCAATTCTCACCTGAACAATCTGAAGGGCCTCATAAGTTAGTCAAGAGAGTCCCTCGGGCTGTAATTTATAAGTACAATGTAAAGTTTTATCATTATGTCTCCAAAACCCATATTCTCCATGGAAGAATTAATGAAGGGTTCATGAACCTGTATAAAGTCTCAGTCACTGTGTGAGTTGCCTTTTCACTGATACACTTCCTGGAGGAAACTCCCTGCCAATCACCTTCCATTGCTCAGTTAGTGGTATCTTCACTGTTCATGCTGCTGACAGGGCCAAAGTTTCTGCCATTTGATCTTATTATTTCACAAGGAATGAGCCTGGCCACAGGAAGGGAAGGGAATTTTCAAGGTTACATAGATAGTTGCTCAGATGTGGGATGGAAGAGAGTTTCCTATTCCATGGTGTACTTTTCACACCCGAGTCCGTTACTTCCCCCATGATCACAGTTGGATCTGTTTTCACAGCTTCCTTTTCTGGCATCTCTGCAATCCCCTGGCAGGTCACCATAGAGGAAAAAAAGAAAGACTTCTTGAGACAGAATGAAGCAGCATCTCTCAGTCACTGCCAGGCTGAGCTGGAGAAGCTTTCAGAGACCCTGAAGGAGAACATCTCACGTGGAGCCTTCTCTGTTCCCGGGGGACACAGCCTCTACTTAGAAGCTAGGAAGAAGGTTGAGCAGGACTATCAGCGGGCGCCCAGGAAGGGAGTTAAGGTGAGGAATGAGGCATAAGCAACAAGGAGATGGGCTTCAGGGTTAACAGGAAGTCTCCTTCTTCCTTAGGACTTAACTGAACTGTTTGTGAGGTGATGGCAGAGGCATGTCTATCTATGCACTTCAAGCTTTTCTAGCTCCAGAATTGATTATTGTTGTTGTTTATCTAAAATTCTCACTGTGTATATTTTGTTGTTACATTACACATGTACTGTGTTAAGAAATTTTCATATACGCAAACACACACATGTACACACATGGTGTAGTGAGCGTATCCCCCATCTCTCTCCATCCTCCTTCTCAATGAACCAAAACCAGTCTTTCCCCCAGAGGAGTTTAGAATAAATAATCCTGACTGGACTAGAACAACTTTTTTCCATTGACTATACAAGGCAATTGTTTCTGAGCTAATAGATGGGATTTGAAGATCAAAGACACACTTGTCCATGAGATTCTGATGATCTTGTCTCAGATATAAATAGTCATTTGGATACATCAGGGTAAAAACTATTCTGGAATAAACAGAGAGCAGAAATAATGATGCAATTAATATTATTATTGTTGAAATAATAGTAATAATAATAATAATGTTCACATAGTCAACACCCTCCCTAATTTAGGTTTTATTTACTTTTATGTTGTTCTGAGATAGACTCTTGAGGTAACAATGCCACACTGGCACTGAACTTGCAATCCAGCAACCTTCACGTCCTCAGTGCTATGATCACAGACATGAGCCACCATGCCCAGATTTTAATACCTTATTGCTAGATGATGATATCATCAGTAACCCGGAAGTTCACGCCCCTTTAGAAGTTACAGTTCAGTCCTCAGAAGAACATAATAATTCCGTACTGCTGTTGTGCACATTTAAGAGCTGTAAAACGGGATGCCTGGGACACTAATGCATTGTCAGGCCACAGCAGAACAAGCGGGGCTGCTCAGCGCACTTAGCATCCATGCAAACCTCAGCAGACAGCTCAGGGAAGCTCTCTCTGAAGAGTGTTTTTGTGACCTGACAATTTCACCTTTTTTTGTTTCACCAGGCAAACCATGTCCTTCAGAGCTTCCTCCAGTCACAGATTCCCATAGAGGACTCCATCCTGCAGTCAGACAGAGCCCTCACTGAGGGCCAGAAGGCCATGGAAGGTACATGGGAGGACTCTGCTCGCACAGGGATGGGTAGGCTTCTGCTAAGCTGCTGAGTGATGGACAGGAAGATCTTCCATATAGGTTGCACAGTCTCCTAATCTGACATTAAGAGGGCGGTCTGGTCTCCCTGAGCTGTCATGACAGGTACCTTCTAGAAGCATTCTGGAAATGTGCTCTGGGGTGTGGTGACTGAAATTCAGACTCCTCTCTTACATTTTTCAAGTTCAGCTGCGTCTCTGAGCCCAAGAAAGGAAAGCTCAGTCCTGACTGGGGTCTTCCCTCTCTCAAACCCTTGTTGCACAGCTGAGCGGGCTCAGAAGGAGGTGGCTGAGAAGGAGCAGGAGCTACTAAGGCAGAAACAGAAGGAAATGCAGCAAGTGATGGAGGCTCAAGAGAGAACCTACAAGGAAAACATGGCCCAACTGCAGGAGAAGATGGAGACAGAAAGGAAGAACATCCTGAGAGAGCAAGAGGAGATGCTCATACACAAATTGAAGGTGAGGCTGGGCAGGTCCCAGACCTTATCAGAGGGACAGTGCTTAGGTGTGGCCTTGTCTGACATCTCTCGTTCTTGTGTGGTGCAGAAGGAGTCACAGGGTCCAGGTTGCTTTGGTCATGTCCCATAACCCAGGAATCAGGCAAATTCATAATGAGCACTGTTTGGTAGAGTAAGAGATACATGTCCTTAACTGCTTGAGTCGCAAATGCAGACCCTTGACCTTCAGTAAGCATGGTTTTCTAAGTATATCTTTCTTCTTATAGGTCCAAGAAGACATGCTCAAGGAGGGATTTGAAAGGAAATATGAAGCAATGGATTCAGAGATCAGCCAACTACAAAAAGAGATTCAAAAAAATAAGGATCAGAATAGCTTATTGCATGCACAAATCTTGGATGGATTTGGAAATGTGTTAGTTTCAGTATTGCCCGGCACGGGTAAGTTTCTTGGTCTAGGGATGAAAATTTTAAGCAGTCAAATGAGATAAACAAAGAGTTCTTGTCATAAAACTGTAAGTTTGGCTCCTTTTTTCCTGAAACTTATTTTTGAAGTTCGTGTTATGTAAATTCATTTATTAAATATTAAATTTCAAAAACCAAGAATACAGGTCACTCTCCACAAACTGATGGCAAGGCCCCACTGCTAAGGACAACACGTGTCCTCAAATCATCAAACATGGAGAACTAAGCTGAAGCCCAAAGAGTGGGCACCTTACTACCATCTTTGGCACAGGAAGATACTCTATAGGAAAAACATAAACGCCAGCGTGGTCGAAAACCCTTTGGTCTGCAATAGTGTCCTGACTGCAAAATATGCTAGTGTAGCTGCAGCACAAAACTCCTGAGGACAGCCAGCCAATATCTGATTTGACTTAAGGCCCACTCCACAGGATGAGACCCATACCTGACACCGGTTTGGGGGACCAAGAACCCAAGACTAGATAGCCCAGGGAACCTAGAGTAAAACCAAGTACTACTGTTATATTTAAAAAATAGCAATAAAATGACACCTAGTCACATTCTGCTATCCTCATAGATCAGTGCGTTGCTCAGCCATCATTAGGGAAGCTTCCTCCTGCAGCAGATGGGAACAGATACAGAGACCTGGAGCCAGAAATTATACAGAGAGTGAGAGACTTGGGGACACTCAGCCCTAAATGGGGCTCCCTCCCCTTGGGGCTCAGGAACGCTATGAAAGAGGAGGCAGAAAGAGTTTAAGAACCAGAGGGGTTGAAGGACACCAAGAAAACAAGTCACCTCCCCCCTGCCCTTGAGGTTGAAGAAAAGACTCAGATATTAAGAACACTGGTGTTGATAAGAGATATTTCTATTCTCCAGTGCCATAGAGTTTGTGATCCTTTGGTTTCCCCAATATTGGTTCTCTTACTGAAAAACTTAAAGCATTGGTAAACCCAGCCAACGTAACCTTCACAGCCTATGGAGCTGATGCACAGCTCATGTCAGCAGCAAATGGTGAATGTCAAGCAATTCACTGATAAACTCCAGTTGATCAACCTCCAATTGATTGACATCGCTAAGAGTTTTTGTACAGACCTTCTCCAGCATTACTGCCGTGGAGTATGAACCTTGGTCATATGAATTCTAATGTTTGCAGTGTTAAAATGTTTGGCAAATGCACACCAATGATACAGACTAAACGATGTCTCCCTCCTAGAAAATGTATGATTCTTTTAAATTTTTATACATATATGTGTGTTATACAATTTAGACTATTCAAGTAACAAACTAACTTGAAATGTTCATCTTAGGTAAAGGAGTTTTTGAGAATTAGTCTCCTGTGCAAACATTAAAATACAAACCATTTAATTTTAGATAATCAGTATGTCCAGAATATTATTTAAATAAACCGGTGAGAAGAATCTTTATAAACAGGTGTTAAGTGAGATCATTTGATATGGACTAACTAGGATGTTAATAATGAAATGATATGCTTACGTTTGGATTTAAAACAATTTCAAACAGTCACTAGCTATTTTGGTTTACTTTGAAGAACATCAACTTACTTCAGTTATATATACCATCCGAAACGTTTTATATGGGATAAGAAATATTCCATTGAATTTTTGTGCTGTAATGTGGGAAAATGTCCTATTTTTCACAGTTTCTGTCAATATGAAATAAAGTTCAATTCTGGCAAAAATTAAATATATATGTAGTGTGTGAGTGTGGGTGTGCTGGACACTTCTGTTGTCTGTCTTCACTTTCCACCTTGTTTGAGACAGCATTTCTTATTTTTTTTGTTGCTCACCCCAGACTAACTGACCGGGTTCTCTTAGGCTCTTGAACCACTGTGAATTCCTTCATACTGTCCCTGAACACCACCATTATGGCTCTCTAGCACTTCAGCCTTGTTTCTTCATATCCGTTTGCTCTGAAGAAGCAGATGTCAAGATTCTTTGAATAACCTTTCTAGTCCCAATGTTTAGATAGCAAGGAACTTTGGTTCTCACAGCCAAGAATCTGACACTAAGTTTATGGTTAGAGAAAAGCCCCATGTCACAGTGAGTCACCTACGTATAACTTCACTACAGCAGGGACACAAGGCAACTCTGAAGTCTCGGGAGAGGCCTCCATATGCAACATGGGGACTGAGACAGTGGCGTTCTGTGAGATGAACTGCGGCCTTACAGTGGTATTTGGGTCAAGTTCCCCTCTGGGGTGGGGAGAAAGCAGCAGGTTCTGGCCCTTAACGGAGGCGCAGCTTGTCCTGAGCGATGGGACCTATCATTCCTTGTGCTCTGTCCACTTCAGAGGACGAAGTCTTGTTTCTTCTCCTAACCTAACTCTTAATCCACACTCCACTGACCCGTCATTCCCACCCACTATTATGCTAAGTGACACTTGCTCAGTAACTGATTCAGAAACCAGGGCTCGTTCAGCTCAATCACCAGTTCTTAAAGTGGTTCTCTCAAATTAGGGCAGGTAACACGCTCACTAGAGGCGCCATAACTGCCTATTGAAATTCTCTGCATAGTGCTTATTGTAGAATATCTGAAGCAAATTATTATGGAAATAAAGTTAAAAATTGCCCAACTCCCATTTTTATTGGTATCACGCTTTATCTTTGATTTATTTGTCGGAACAAGCATGCCCCCCCTTTTGTTTAGTTCAGTAACTCTAGCATAACTTTGGGTCCTCTCTAAGTCTGCATGCTGGCACAATCCCTCACTCTAAGAAGCCTCTTCTGTCTAAACTGCTGTTATAACTCACCTGTGCCCAACTAAACCCCAATACAACAGCTTTTCATACAATCCCGTTTATTGAATATCTCCCTGTCAAGTAAATAAGCAACCCCCTCTATATATCCAGGGATTGTCTCTTGTAGTGGTTTATTTGCTTTTATAAATGAAAAGCCCACAATTGTTATGAATACGTACTTCTATAATTATAAAAACAATTCATATTTAGTGAAAGTAAATTCGTAGTAAGGAAATAAGAAAAACGTAATTAGAGCCAGGGAGACAGCTCGGAGATAAAAGTGCCTGCCACCAAAGCCGGATAACATGACATGCATGCCGTGGCCCGCATGGTGGGAGCAGAGGACGGACTTCTGCGAATTGTCCTCTGATTTCCGCATGCCAACTAATGCACATGGGCATTCACACATGGACTTGTGCCCACGCATACTCAAATATGCCACGTAGCACACATACAACAAAAATAATTTTAAAATTGTAAGAAAGAGGCCAACCTTGGGTGTCATTCCTCAAGAACCACCCATTGTTTTTGAAAAAGGGTCTCTCTTGGGACCTGGAGTTTACTGATGAAACTATGCTGTCTGGCCAGGAAGTTCCAGGGAGTCCTGTATCCACTTCCCCAGTAGTGGGATTCCCAGCATGTGCCCCTGTGCCCAGATGTTTTTGTAATTGTTAAGGGTTCCACAGAGGAGAGCTTTGCAGCCAGTCCTGAAGATACCTGATAAAACAGGATCAGATGAATGGGGAGGAGGTCCCCCCTATCAGTGGACTTGGCAAGGGGCACGGTGGAGAGGAGGGAGGGAGGGAGGGACTGGGAGGGAATGAGGGATCGGGACACGGCTGGGGTACAGAGTTAATAAAATGTAACTGATAAGAAAAAAATAAAATACAAAAAAAAAATAAAAAAATAAAAACAAACAAACAAAAAAAATTGTTAAGGGTTGAGTCCAAGTTTTCAGGCTAGCATAGCAAGCATTTTACCAGCTAAGCTATCCCTGAAACTCATATTTTACTTAAAAAAAAATCAGTATAAACAGTGATTCTAAAGGCCTTTGAACAGTAATAATATACACAAAAAATATAAATGGATAGCTTTACCAATATATTTTAATTGGTCTGTTACTAGGGTCAAAACTCTAAAGCTTCTTAATCTCTAGTAAATTGCCTTTGACATGTATAGAGTCTTTTGTGCATGAAGATTAATAACCAACAAATAAATCAGATAGGACAAACCATTGAAGGAGGCCAAACCATTTCCATTTTCCAGATAGATCTTGGAACTTAGGATGAAGACTTCTCTTGAGTTCACCAGGGGAAAAGAAGACACAGGGTGGAATCTAAGGCAGGCTGTTCCTGTGCTGATCAGCAAAGATGAGACATGCAAGCGATGCTCAGCTGAGGCTGCTCAGGGGCAGAGATGCTACCAGCCTAGCAATTAGTAAGCCATGTTCACAACTGTACTTTGACACAGTGTGGGCTGTCCTTAGAATCACCTCCCCTCCCTAGTCCGTACCCACTCAGCTCTCTCTCTCCCTTTGTTCACAGAATGCACACAGACTTTAACCGTCTTCTCAGTGTACAGTCTGTTCTCTGGGAAGCTGGACATTTCAGCAGGGCAGGATTGCATCCACTCATATGGAGAGAGACGTCAGTATGTGTGCAGTGGGGGAGAAAGAGCAATCGGCTTGTGTGGAGCTGTTGTGTGGTAAAGGCTCCTGGTGGTCAGACATGTTCTTTCTTTCTTTCTTTCTTTCTTTCTTTCTTTCTTTCTTTCTTTCTTTCTTTCTTTTGTTTTTTTTTGTTTTTCAAGACAGTATTTCTCTGTATAGCCTTGGCTGTCCTGGACTTGCTTTGCAGAAGAGTGTGGCTCGAAATCACAGATTCAGCCTTCCTCTGCCTCCCTGAGTGCTGGGATTACAGGTGTGCGCCACCACACCTGACTGACATGTACATTTTTAAGAGGAGGATTTCTTTACTGATGTGTATGTTCTTTCTCTCACTCTCCTTTAAATTATGCATATTACATAGAACACCTCATAGAGAAAGGAAGTGAAAATTTGAAAAGTAGACACATCTTTCTCAACTAAAGTACTATGTAAGTATTGGCACCTAAGAAACAAGCAGTTCAAATATTAAGTTCCTACCTATTTCATGTGACAATGTATCTTTCTTTATTTTGTTTTCTCAAGACAGGGTTTCTCTGTGTAGCCCTGACTGTCCTGGAACTCACTCTGTAGACCAGACTGGATGTGAACTCAGAAAACTACCTGTCTCTGCTTCCTGAGTGCTGGGATCAAAGGTGTGCGCCACCATCTCCAGGTGTGCCGACATAATTTAAGTCAATGGTAAAAGCTGCAGGAAGTGATGTTCATGGGAATTTCTTCCAAGGTGAGCTGTTTGTGAGAAATCCCTCCAGTGTCTGGTTTGGGAGGAGATAAGGGAGCAAATTCTTTACGTTGACCCCTTAATCAGAATTTTTTCATTGTCAACGGAAAAAAACATCTTCTGAGACAGAGAGCATTACATTCTTTGATTTGACTCATTTGGAAAATTCTCTACAATATCTCAGAAACTTGCCTGAACAGAGGAAGGGAGGAATAAGAACTAGCCATCTAGAAGAGAGTATGGTTTGGGGAATCTGTATCTATTTGGAAGACAGGCAGAAAACTTTCTAGGCAGAGTTGACTGCAGTAATACTTCTACAATGAAATACAGATATGTTAATGGATTGTGAGAACAATGCGTATTTCTTATTTTATATAACAATTAACTGCAGAAGGTATGTACTAGGTTTGGGGTTAGGTTCAAGTGTGAGCTTTGTGTCCATTCCTTTTGTGATCAGTTGAACAGAGCAATTTGTGTATGAGTTTTCCATTTTTCACAGAAGAATATAAATAAGGAACAGCAGGACTAGTGAGAATCTGAAATGTGGTTAAGAACCTTCCAATCACAATTCACTTACACGGAAAGTCACATGGTATGTCTTGTTAATCCAGTTGGGAGATGTAGTCATTTCTTAACCAAAAGACCCAGAACAAGCAAAATCCAAAAAATAACCCCTGAGCACAAATGAATACTCTTATCTATTCCATAAGGACTTCAACCTAACAAGCACTACAGAGAGTTAATGATGAAATGCATGTCGTTAATAATAAAATTGTATCTGTTGTGACTCATCCGGGGCCCTATCAACTGATGAGTCAGTCTGGCTATAGCCTGTTTTGAATCTCACCTGCATGATATCTGTATGGCTGGGGTAGCTGCTCTTTATTTTTGGTTATTATTCAGGTTGGGCACTAATGTGTCTGAACACTCAGTTAAGACAATGGAGGTGGAAGACGATCTTGCTAATTCAGGTGGATGGTTTTCTCCATGTTGAAAAGTTGTTCCCACGAAGCCCTGCGGTATCACAGAGAAGACTTTCTGAGCTGCATCTAGGTCTGCTCTGGCCGCACAACCATGGCATACTGATTTGGATTTCCAGAGCCCATGTGAAATCTCTAATCTCATCGATCCCGTGGTGAGACAGGAGACAGAGATGGATAAATCCCCGCAAACTCACAGGCCACCCAGCCTGGTATATGCAATAGCAAACACAATTTGTCCCCAAAAGAGTGAAAAGAGAGATCCTATATGTGAAATAGTCTTCTGAGTGTTGGCAACATAGTATGCATGCACCCACACTCAGAGGCACACGTGTGTGCGTGCACACAGACACACACAGAGACACACACACTACACACACATCACACATACTATGCACACACACACACACACACATCACACATACCATGCACACACCACACACACATACACACAAACACACACATTGTATATTTGAATTTTTGAGACAAAATCTCATGAAGCCCAGGCTAACTTCAAGATTAATAAGGATGACGTTGTACTCTTGGTCTTGTCTCCACTTCCAACTATATGCATGCATTACGA